CAAATCAAGATACTAGAAAATCAAATTCCCACCAAATCAAAATATAAAAAATTGGTTTTAGTGCAAAATACGATTTAGGCTAAAAATGATGGCTAATTAAGTCAATATATACTTCATACTAAAATCCCATAAATCAAGTTTTCTTATTTGATGTGTAAGGAATAAAAGTCACCAAAAATTATATTGAGAAAATAATTGTTCCGAAAAACCATTTTTCATATTTAGTCAATATTTTTACATAAAACAATTTTTCATGTATGATATGTATGCATGAAGGGATCTAAAGTCAATTTAAATAAAAAGCCTTAGATGTTTAATCCACAAAGAGGTTTTAGCTTTTCAAAATTACACATTTGCTAAAAAATCTTAGGTCCACCAGTGATTATACTATCGCTTTTTTTTTTTTTTCTTTTCTTTGGCAAACAAAAGTAAGTGATGATGCTCTTATATTCATGCTTGCTTTCTCCACCATGTTCTGTATAATAAATAAATATAATAAAACAAAACACTCACTATCAGACAAAAAAAAACATAAAATATAGGATTAGCTATTTATTTTGTATGGTTGGCGACAAATCAAATTGCATAAACGTTATTTTTTAATGATGTGATGAGTGTCCTTTTCTTCACAAAGGAAAGGAGCTAAGCGTTGTTTCAAATTCATTTTATAAGTAAAATAATGCTGATCGATTAGCTGTCAATAAAATAAAATGCATGGTGGTGTTGATAAAAGGCAAAAAGATTCTTCTTGTACCACTTCAGTTGTCAAACGGTCCTACCATCACAGCCATTGTAAGTGTTGAAACTGGATATAAGAGAGGAAAGAAAGAAAGAGATCCTATTGGGAGGGATTCGATCTTGGGTGCCATGAGAGAGGAGGAATTCACCACCACTGTGGTGGGAACCCATTCGCTTGGAACTGGATATTTGATGGGGTCAAATTAAAGACAAGCTTTTGTAATAGCTTTTTCTTTTCCTTGCATGTATTTGGTTGTTGACATATAGCCTTTAAATATTGGATTTCAATTCTTCTTCTTTTTTTATTCGTCACTTAATATTTAAAAATAATTCAGCACCATGACCATGGTTGATTTGCCAAAAAAGAGAGAGAGTACAAGCTAAGTGCCTCTCTCACATGGATGATGGAGGAGCTGTAACACTTCTATAGTTTTATCATCTTTAAACATTCCTAATTGGAGTGTACTACCAGTCCACTCAAATTGGATTGGCTGCTTATTTTTGGCTCAAAAGAAAAGGAAGAAAAAGCTACTAAAAAGTCTTCGACAACTGGTAAAGGGTTGGATTTGTTGGCACGTACGAGGGAGGGCCTTCTTTGCATCGAATCTGTCACCACTGATGATAATTAGTTCGCACTCAAAATGCATTTATGCAATCCAATCCGACTACAGATTTCCTTAGTCCCTTCAAAAGAAGAGGACGAAGAAACCACTGAAAAACTAGGAAAATATTGAACAAACTTTTTTCCTTGAAAAAGTCTTCGACAACTGGTAAAAGCATTTTCACCCGTCGTGTCATGGCAAAAGGCTCAAGCAAGAGCATGCAATATTCACATAAATAGTGTGAGTCCTTGCAAAAGACAACTCAAGGGCAATCACTATTTATATAGAATTAATTTTATTTATATGTATGAGTTTAATAATAATAAAATTGCTAGGTATGAATAAAAAAATGTTTTTCAATTTTTTGGATTTATTTTTTTTTTTTTTTGTTTAATTTTTTTTTAATTTATTGACGTTATCGCTCTCCTACAACAGCTCAGGATATTTTTGCCTTTGAGCCTGCGCAGACTTGTAGAGCCCACATCTGCTGGGGCTGGAGTGTAGCGCTGAAAGTGCTCTAAAGGGATAGATTTGTTGTATGTAAGGCATTTACGATGGGAGGGCCTTCTTTGCATCGAATCCCTACACGTATCGCCCCCAAATTCCTTTTTGGCCAGTTGTCAAACCAGAATTAATATTACCATAATTAATATTACTAATTAAACTATATTATATAAAATTATCATAGATGATCATATCCCTAATTCACAAGCTGGATTGCATTTATAAATAGAAAATCACAAGACGGACTTGACTTTAGTTTCTCCTTCGGAAATGATTTCTCCATAACTGCCAGCCAAGCAAAGGATTGGGTTAAAACTTCATCGAAATCAACCCATAGTAACTATAACAACCGAACAAAACTATAATCAGGAGAACGATTGTCTGCATAATCATCCATCTCACGTAAGATTTTCTCCTGCATCCATTCAGATTCAGGCCAGCAGCAAATTTAATAAATTCCTAAAATCATAAATACAGAAATTCCGTATGGAATCTAAACTTGCAGAAAAAGCAGAGCAAGTAATTCACACAAAAACATTTTAGTTTAAAATAAATAAAACAAAAGGTACAGAAGGGGGTTTCTTGGTATTGGCGATTAGTGATTTTGCCCGATCACTTTCAAATCATTAAATTCCAACATTGAGTTCATTTTCTATCTGAAATTTGGACACATACACTGAAACTCGAAGTAAAAGAAAAATGAAAGATATTTACCTCATATTCTACTCACGGCGCCAAATCTTTTAATTTTTAATTTTGTTAAAAGCGACAGTAATTTTATTGATTACACACAAAAAGTACAAAGTAGCTGTAATGCCAAATATGAGTATAACATCTCCAGTGACCAAACACAAAAATAAATTGATTTGATTTGGAGAGAATTACGCATGCCAGAAAAGCCTAAAACCTCCAATTGGGCAGACAAAAGCACTTGTACTCAGACGTACAAATCCATCTCGCAACGGCAGTAACGGCAAATCCGCATCGAAAAGTCGAATACTAAATTAAAACACCACACAACATCCTCTTCAACAAACCAAAGAGACTTGTAACACCAACATGTCTAAACCTCTTATTTTGAACAAGCAAAACCTCTTATTTTGCACAGGCAAAACCCTATCGCACACAAACCAGCAATAATCACTTTTCCAACTCCAAACACTGAACTGGAGCAAAATTCATGTGAGTGGACCAAAAGCTGCAACAAATCCATGGCGTCTACAGTGGATTGCAATACTTATTTCAAAAACACAACGAAAATCAAAGAAAAAAGCTTGGTTGACAACACCACAATGCAGCCATTCCAGCGATAGCAAGACACATCCAAGAACAACAAAAGTCGCCAAGGACCTACAAGAGAACACACACAAATAAACAAACAAAAGACAAGATTCATATAGATCTTGGCAAGAAGACTCAAAATCCAAACAAATTTGGGGAGAGAAGAGGAGAGAGGAAGAAAACAAGGAAAGGAGAAAAAGTATTGTTACAACTCTCACAAGTCAAATTACATCTAGAAGTTCCACTAATTTGCTTGACTGACTTTACATCATCATCCCATCTCCATCACTGCGTAAGTTGACTAGAACCTCGTCAGCAATTGGGTCTAAAGTTTAGTCAAATAACAATAACAAGAATTTAGTTGATACTATTTGTAAGATCATTAAATTAATTTAGACACCAAAAATCATTTACAAATTTACTCTCAGAGATAAGATTTACATAGATAAACTACGTATAACCAATAAATAGAAGTTTAATTCTTTAATCTATTCGCTCTAATTTCATAAATCGTTGTGTACCCAATGATGGGTTATATTGTGCTGCTAATAAAGACATTTTAAGGCTAACTGAACAATAAATATATGCTCCTATTTAAAAAGAAACAGTGGAATGTCATTAAAAGTAGGGGTGGACATGGATTGGGTTGTGTCATTTTAGTTGAGTTAACCTTTTGTGATCAGGTTGAGCAGTTTGGTCGGGTTAACTCAAAATTAAGCATATTTTTAAGTTTTGATTTCAACATGTACAAATTAGTATATGATTTTTTGAACCCAAGACCCACTCATTTTTAAGCCAATCTAACCCAGTTATGATTGGATTGGACGGTTCGCTCGAGTTGACCAGAAATTGTGCCCACCCCTAATTAGAAGTAACATAAATATTAATTTTGTTGTTGTTGAGAAATTATGGAATTGCAATTATAAATAAGCCAAAAAAGCCAAGTAATTGATCTAATGTTATAGTCATAGTAACACAGTGAATCTTGATTTTCTGAAATTTATATCAACCAATGTTAAAAGGATGTCCAAACATGTTCATAAAAAATAAAATAAAAATTGTCAATACATAAACACGGATGCATATCCCGAGCAGCAAGTACACATTCAAAAGGATTGCGTAAAGTCATGGCTCATAACCAAGCGCCTAATACATACTGCAAGTGTATATCGAAGCATTCTAATACCATAAGAGCAAAACCAGGATGATTCTAGTCTTCAAAGTAAAAAGAAAGACAACAGGATAACTGGGTGATGCTTAGTCTGTGTCAGAGACCTCCACTTCCATCACCCCCTTCTTCTGCTTGTGTTCAGCTGCAGCATCCATCATAGACCGGTCTGTAACCTCGCCAACGTGAAGAACTAATCCAACAGGGTTAGGCTCCACGGCTGTTGAAGGGCTGTCCTCGGTCTCAGGCACAATGCCGGCCTCATCCTGAAACAAGATTGAAACATAGGTATTCATCTTTCAACAATAAAATAGATCAGATCACAGCATAAGAATTTCATACAATTAATCTTAACTACGTTTATTCTCTTTACCATACATAGAGAATTACAAAGACCGGGTACTGGACACCAACTAGTACTCCAAGCACAGTTTACTCAATGCTCTGTTTTATCTCTGTCATGCTCTGTTACTCAATGCTAAAACATATACATAAACGTAATTATTGACTAAGCATGTATATGTACACATACAACATTCTTATCATTACCCAAGTACAACCAACAAATCTTAATTTCATAAAAAAAAAAAAAAAAAAAAAATACCAAAAAAAAAAAAAAAAAAAAAAAAAAAAAAAAAAAAAAAAAAAAGACAAAAAGCGGTAAAAGTAAAACTCCAAATTTATTTACCAAGCTGTCAATTAGGCCTCTAAAGCAAGCTCAACGGAACGTTACCGTCGGCCATAGCCTGGCCAGGCCTCCAGCCCGGTGCCAGAGTGGGAAAAACCTCAGGCGGTGCTGTAGGCATGAAGAAACTCGAAGGATTTGTGCCTAATCCCGTATCCTCCATTACCTTGAGCACCTGGAATGGCAGAGTAAGATAATTCCACATCTTGATGGACTCAAAGTGCTTGACCCGGGATGCAGGGCTCACCTTTTCGAGGTACTCTTGAGCTTCTTTCTCCTTGCCAGCTTGGACAAGGGAGCAATGCATAATTTTGATGAAGCGTTTGTTGCTGGCCACCAGAACTTGGGCCACGCAGTCCTTGATGAAAGCAGAGTCGACCGGACCGGGTTTAATCCGATGGGCTGAATTGCTTTTATCGACAGCAATTTGTTCTGCAAGACCCTCTTCAAGGCAAGAGTGTGACAAGCAGTTTTCCAGTATGGGAACCATTTCTTCTTTCTTCTGGAGAAACTGTTCTGGGATCAGATCTAGTTCCTTGAAGTGAGATTCCATTAGGCTTGCAAGAACAAAGGCGTCTGGATTGAGAGGGGTCGACATCACTGTTGAATTCTTGGGTTTAGGATTTTGGGTTTTTGGAGAAGAAGGGCTAATGGTGAACGGTGGTGAACTTTGAAGGCACACGCTGAGGCTTTGTATTATAATTTTGTTTTTGGAAAAAAAAAATTCAGAAGATGATCCATGTCCTCATCATCAAAGAGAAAAGACGGAAACAGTTGTGGGTCTACCAACTGTTTCTTTGGTAAATACCAAGTGTTTCACTAGCCAGGAATGGTTCAATCAACTTGTTATTTGTTGTTTTGTCCGAGAAAAAAGAAAATTCAATTAATAATTAATAATAATACAGATGGTCATCTCCTTCGCTTTCAAATGCAACGCAAGTTTAGATTCTCATTTCCATGTGTTTTAGTTATTTGAGAAAAATTAAAGACGTGAGTATTATTGGGTGTGGCTTAGAAGTAACTATCCATGGTCATTGCTTATTGCCTTTTCTCAACCAGTAAAAGAAAATAGCTGGATATTAATAATAAAAAAATGTAATTCCATTGAAAAAACAATGGAGCTTAAACAAATGCATGCAAGAGTGTATTTTGTGCGATAACTTGCAACTGTTGAGGATAAAAAATGTATTCTCATCATTCTTCTTAATATTTGACACGTATCCATATGCATAATTATGATTAATTTTTTTCTTTGTATTTATGAAACCATAGTTATGTATATGAACATGTATCAAGTGTTGAGAAGAGTAATAAAAATACATATTAGGTTAAAATAATGAGAAAAATACTCTCAAACGAAAATGAAATTCTAAGTCAAGATTTTAATTAGTTGAAGCACTTATAACTTTTAGAAAATCATGTCCTATCTGATACAACCAATACAAAGAGATATTTGGCCATCTGATAAAAAAGTTCTACAATTTGAATCTAGACAAATTATGAGTTGTTTATTTTAATACATGAAGATTATAATTTTAAATCTCTTCGAATGAGACGTTTAAAATCAACATGCATGCTCAAAGATGAAAACTTCGAACGCGAGGAAGAAGGAGTGTTGGAATTTGGAAATGAGAAATTCCAAATACTGCCACGTGACTAGCATATGGTAATGGTGGTGTTGTAATAAGGCTCGTGCGCCTAAAGGACCAATCCTGATACCGCCACGTCGCCAAGGTAGAGCGTGGGTGGGTGACTAGACTAGGCGACGGATAAGGAAACGTATTGAAGCCCCACCGGGACAAGAACCCACCAATGACAGGCCAATAAAATATATGTATCTGAATCGGATAATAAAATATATGAGGTTAACATCACGGCCAGCAACCATTTGTCAAAGTCATCAAGATGATATGATTATAAGATTCATATTCCAACTTTAGGATTAATGTGGGAGATAGAAATTCATGCACATCAATCAAAAGTGCAAACCATTTGGGCCTGTATGGTTTCAGTCTAATGAATTTATCAAACTATATTATTATCAACCTTCTGTCTGAATTTTAATTTCAAAGAAAAATTTGTGACACATGATATATGACACACACTTCATTAAATTAGGACAACGAAAGTCAATATCTCTCCACAAACCCTAGAGGTCACTGTAGTACTTACGACAAAAGTCAATATCTCATTCTCACTCATTTTCATCTATATTCTAGTAAAAAATGAAAGAATAAAAACTAAAATGTAAATAATTATCAAACCTTGTTAATAGATGACCAACCAAAATGCATAATGCATGGTGGGACAGGTGATTGATTGGTAAGGCAAAACATTCTGTTTCTAGTCATCAAACGGTCCTTCCTACCATTCACCGCCATTGTAGTGTTGAAATTGGAATTAAAAAAGGTTTTAGAATTTTTTTTCTTTTATTTCGTGAAGCTTGTGCATCAAAATACACACGTGTCGCCATTTAGGAAACAAGGTCAACAAATCACCGAATCGGCTCCCACGTAGAATGAAAGCAAATCTGTTCACACCAGCAAAAGCGACATAAGAGACTGAGACGTTTGTATTTACTAGGACTTACTTAAAAAAGCATCTCGTACGCGGTGTAAAACAAATAAAGATTCACATTCAAAATGAATAATGAAAACAAATAAGAGCAAGACATTTGTAACAGCTTTCAAGATTTCTATTGATTACACTTAGCCTTGTAAGCTATTAATCGGTCATGAAAATGGTAACCCAAACACACATGTATTTACTTTCTAAACAAGATTGCACAAATAAATAAAGAAAGAACCAAACGGAAAATGTTGTTAAATATAAGTATTTTTTTTAAAAAAGAAAAAGTTATTAAATACAACAGTTATTCTCGTTGATGGTCGGTTGGTGTCTAATCATTGGCGTGACGATAACCGGGGACCAGACCCCTCCAAAATTGGGCGCGACCGCATACAATTTTTGTCAAGCGCGTGTGGCACAGTTTGTGGACCAAAACGCATCGCATAGCAGAGGGAGGCTGTCTGCAAGGCTGCAACTGCAGGAGTTATCACGAGTACTCAACTACTTTTAAGTCATTAATCAACAATTAAATACACCATTAAGTTAATTTTCTATGACACAATTTATTTTGCTCTTGGTGCAATTCGGGGAAACAAAAACAAACGTCCAACTTTTATTTATATACTACATTTTCATTATAGGGGTATACGCTTGCTGTCCAATTCTATTTCTTCAGGTACGTAATGGGATGAGATAAATAGATAAAAACATGGAAGGCTGGAGAAATTAGATAATTAGGTTTGTGCTTGCTTTTTAATTGGCCGATGTTGACAGAATGATTGAGGAGAAGGTCGCTTTTAATTCAGCTGTGCCTCCCTTGGACGTTGAATATAATTCATCCGCTGCTTTAATTGAACAAATAACAAACGTGGTTGGGATGGGAGACTCCTTCCAGGGCCAAAGGGCTTCAAGCTTACCTCTCCCAAACTCACATTTTTCAGTCAATCTTTAATAATTAGGTTGTTGTGACAGAAGAAGATTTATGGAAAAATTAGTCATTTATACATTGCAAGGACAAACTTTGGTCACTGACATTTTAATCTTTTTGTTTGAATTTGTATGATCACTGCAACCAAAAGACCACCTTTTTGTTTGAATTTTAACCTCATCAACAGCATCATAATTTCGAGCATCCGAGGACTGAAAATTGGGTTTAACAGATATGAGATGCATAATACAAATCTATAATAATCAAAGGTAATTAGACGGCAGTCTGAGAGTTGGATGCATAAATAATTTATAAATACCAAAGTCTCTTTGTTGTCGTCGAACCAAGTTGATGCTTGCTTGTACTTGTAATCAATCCTAGCATCTTGGTTGGCAGAGTCCTTATAGTGATGTGGAGGAGCGAGAACCAGCTCCAGCGGCGATGGAAGATCCTCGACGCGAATTAGGGCTTCGACGAGGCCTTCCTCCACCAGCTCCTTCTCAATTTCACCTCCCCGGGAGAGGGACAGCATATTCCAGATCCGAATAGAATCAAGATTCCAAAGCTGGGGTTTGGTCAAGCTGCTCTTGTTCTTCATGTACTCCGCCAGCTCCTCGGGGCTCCCGTGCTTGACAACCAACGAACGCACAGCATCGATAAATCGGAGGATGTTTCTGTTCTTGGTTCTTAGGACCAGCTCCGAAGCTGAGACATCTGATGGTGGCAAGTTGAGGTCCGGGATGCGCCTCGCCGAGTAGTTCAGATCGGCAAGCTCAGGTGGCGGCAGAAAACAGAAACCCACGACATGATGGCTGCTGCTGCTGCTGCTGCTGTGTAAGTCCATGTTCAGGCGGTAGGCCGTACTTGCAGCGATTGCATCTTGTCGGCTCAGGCCGTTGACGGGGATTGAAGACAAAAAGACCCTCTCTAGGCTCAAGCTTGTGGTACTGTTTGTGCCGTTGGTTACGGAAGCCGAGTAGAGTCGACTGGCATTTGGTGACATGATATCAGCTGAAGAGGGTCGATTGATTGGGCGTGAATGGACCCTTTGAGGTTTGTTACAGCTTTCTTCAACCTCTGCAGCTTTCATCGCATGGAAACGGACTTCTCCTAGGTGAAGACGGACTAAATTGACAGCAGCAGAAGAAGAAGAAGAAGAAGGGATCATTTCAAGGGGGTTTTGAAGAAGAGAAGAGATAGTCATAGCCTAGGTGAGGGGTTTTTGAGAGAGAGAGAGAGAGAGAGAGAGAGAGAGAGGTGAGGGGGTGTTTTGGATGTTGAAGTGTAGACCAAAGGTGTGTTGTTTATAGACGAATTTTATTTTATTTGTATTTTTTAACAAAGGTTCCATTTCATCCACTTGTTTAATTACGTTTAAACAGTAGATACAGGCCTCAAATACGCATATAAACTATACGGAAATTCATAACATTCCAAAGCATGACATAAACAATTCCCAGAAAGTAACCCACATGGCGCCGGTGTCCACGGGCCTTCCTTTTATGCCTTTGACAATTATTGCAGTATTTCACTTTTTCGTTATTGACTTTCGAGAAACGTTAGGGAGTTGGGAACTTGGGATAGGTGGTGCAAGCAAGTGGGTGGGAAGTTTTTTTGGGGCCTGTAATGTTAACGATTGGATAGGTGGACCGTGGTGTCGTGTTCATTTCCTATTCAGCCACATCTTCATTTCAAGAGTAAACAAGGCCGTGGGGCACTAATTGTTTTGTATGGTGTGTTTTCTTTGTCATGTTTTTAATTAGTTTTAGATAAGGCGCTGAGGATATCCCAATGCATAAGTGTGTATTAATATTATAAAGTTGGTAATAATGCATAATGTTCGAGTTCAATGACATTTTCATTATTTTTCAAACACAAAGTATGACATACAAAATCTATTTACCTAGTCATGGGTGTAAGGGAGAGAGACAGAGAGATCACTTTGGGTCTTGGAATGTAGTTAGATACCCCAACTCTAAACTATATATTGACCAAATTAGCTGTCATCTGTTGCCAGTTTCTATTAGTGACCAAATTCATGAAAGTGCGTCGTCGTCCTCAAACACGCATGTGTTGTATATATAAAAAGAAAACTTTTGGTTGACTATCAAGAATTCAATCACCCGTTCATAAATGAAAATAACAAATATATATAAATATAAATTCAACGAATTATCTGTGTGGCAACGGATTTACAAACCAAGATTGATGTTCATAGATACAGGAGAATTCAATTACACAAGACAAGACAAAAATAGCCAAATATAAATACAGTGCAAAAGAAAACAAAAAATATTAAATATAAAACTGCCGACCAAAAAAAACATTAGATAAAACAAGAGCTGATAGGTTATCAAAACAAGGTAGCATCTGATAAGCTATCATTGTGTAATCATGGGAGTGACGGCAAAGGGTCCCACTTGTTGATCTGGCATGGTCAGCGGCAGAAGTGGACGTGGCCTTCTCACGCGACGTCGTATTGCACGTCTGGGGCGAGGGAATATTCTATGTCCAATTTGGGCTTGGATCGGTCTCGACAGCCTGCGCGCCAAGCCCAGCAATAGCCAACCAAATAACAGCAAGATGCTCAAAACGCACAGCATAAAGGGCCAGGTAGAGTAGTAGTTTGGAAACACGAGTGAGAGGATTGAGGCGAGCGAGGCGAAGCCAAACAGGAGCATGGCCATGTGAAACCAGGGATAAGGACTATCCGGGTTAAGAAATCGGTGCCTAACTCCAAAGGCGAAGCTATAAGCAAGCAAGGTGTAGAGGACGATGTTCATGGCCACAGGGCGAGTCTTAAAAAGATTTTCATTAGGGTATTTCATCTGAACGAAGGTCAAGAGAGTAGGGATGACAAAGGCCAGTATGTCGTGGACAGATGTCGAAGCCGTCAACGTTAATATTTGAGTAAAGTTGAAGAGCCACAGATTGTTCAAAGGGTTTCTGAGAGAAAAGCGATTGATTTCCATGGTTTGTTGTTTTTGTTGTTTTAGTTTGAGAAATGGGACAGCTATTTATAGAGTGAATTGAATTGTCGAGCAGAAACAATCATCTAGAACAATTGGTCGCCCAAGCAACATAAATAAATATCCGTACAAGCTTGTATTAAAATATTGCGCAGACATATATAGAGAGAGAGAGCAAACAGGTCGGTCGGTGCTTGAGTTGAGTATGTGAGTAGCCACATATATTACGTGTTGGAATGAGCAGATCGATCAAGGATTAGCGCGGCAAGGAACGGTTGAGATCTTCCGTGACACCTTTCTTTGAATAAAAAAAGTCGAAAATGATGCGTGCATGCTGATGCTGCAGAGTGCAGATTGCGGCGCAACTGAACTGATAGAGGATTATTGACGAAGTCTTTTTTGTAAAAGGTATTTTTGGTTTCTGTCCTTGGTGGATGCTTACTTGTTTGGGTTTCCACTTGTGCCGCCATATAGGGCAACGACCACTTAGATTGAACCAGTTTTCTTCAACTTTGAATCTTTGACCTCTATCTATGCACCTAATAGTCCAAGGCCATTACTTTTTATTACTTTCTCAAGTTGGCTTATGCCTTTTTGCTCCTCTCTCTTTCTTTTAAAGAGAAATATACAATTGAGTGATGGGCTAAATTGTAAGAGGAATGAATGATTTCTCACGTACACTAATAGAATGTCATGAGAATTTGAACTTGTAACTGTTGGTCAACAAGTTAAGGTCATTTTTCATTAGGCTAGACACAGTTGGTGAATATGCAAGGGTTTAAAAAACTTTTAGGTCTAGGAGGAGGCAAAGGAAAAAAGAAAAAGAAATATCAGGTAACCATATTATTATCATTTGAAACACTTTGTCATAGGTTGGAGAAAATATCTATTGAAGAAGGTAAGGCATACAAGTAAAAATAGTCAAGCTACTACCCTGTCTTCTAGTGAGATAATGATAGGTTCACAATGCACTTTGAATTTTAGGATGTTTTCGTTTAATATTTAATTTCAAATAAACTGCGTGTGATTGGCGCAGGAGGGCGTCGTTTCGTTTGCATCCATTCCCAACTCACTCCCTCTGCGGGTGATATGATTGTGAGCTGGATTTTGTCACTCGGATATGACTCGAGCAACCTAGGCTTTGGGCTTTATCTTTCCTCTAATGGGCTTTTGTTGGGACTATGACAGCTCAGTTTAAGCCCTCTATTTTCTCTTCTACCTTAAAAATTGTGTTTAAAAAATAAAAGAAAAAATTACTGTGATTAAACCAATTCGGTTCGGAGGACAAAATTGGAAGTATATAAAAACCAATTCTGACTCACATTGGATATGCCGAATTCCTTCTCCTGCTATGGAGGCCACAAAATGGGATCCAAACAAAAGCATGACCTTGTCTTGAACGAACAATAATATTTTACCAAACCCGTCCACATCCAAGAGAAAAACTGGAACCACCTACGTTTTCTATAAAATGGCTCTAGGTTATTTGGAAACCGTCCTTCTTTCTGTAGAGCGAACCGTTTCTTAAGTAGCTATCTTGAATACCACATCCCTCTCCAGAAGACCCCCTACGTTTTCCTCATCATATATTTCTCATTTGTATATGGTTTCGCAAATGGCCTTTGAAGGGCGGGTGGTACTAGAGGCACCAACTTTGGGCACCAACTCTCTAATAGAGGTGGAGCCCGCCAATACACCGGGTCCCACTCTCTATTAGAGAGTTGGTGCCCAAAGTTGGTGCCTCTAGCATTTTCCTTGAAGGGCAATGGCCTCGAGCAAGTGCAGGAAGAGGGATGTGGTATATTCCGAAAGTTTTATAAAATTAAAAAGGCGCCAAATTTCAAAATAAGTTGCTCTTTAAAGAGCTGATTGGTCTCATTTTTTATATTTAAATATTTTGGGGCTTGGTAGTTTTTAGTCTTTTTTCATGTATTACATTATTTTTCTAGGAGCCCTGGTTTGATTCTAGGCTTGGTAGTGTTTTCAATCTTTTTTTAATGTATTACCTTATTTTTCTAGGTATGTTTGTGATTTCTTTCTATCACAGATTCATATGAATGATTGATTCATATGGAAAACACAAGGCCGGCTCCAGCATGGGCCTGTTGAAGGTAGAAAAAGACTTGAGACAATCCATTTAACATCTTGAACACTTTCAAGTACGAGACATGAACATGATTAATGGTGATGATAACATCCTATAATCATGACAAAGATGATTTCAAAGCACAAAAGCTATTGCAGCAGCCGAGCACCGAGACATAACAACGCCAGGAAACCTAGGGTGCAGATTTGATCCCTTTCTTTTCATCCAATTACTTCTTAGCATCTTCAGTGAAAATTGGTTGGTTGGTCTTGAGAAAACCAACAAAAAATGGCTATTGTTTTGCAAGCTACCAAGTTATTACCGTCTTTTTTCTGGCACAACGCGATACTGACTATGTCGAATTCTTGAATTTCCCGTTGCTTCCATGACTTACGTCGATACACCAACTGGGCTGACTGAGTTAAAGGCAAGGCTGGCCTAAGATTTCCGGAGCGTGGGAAGAAGACAAAAGTACATATATGTGCATCCTCACAATTATACAGCTGTTTACGTTCCTAAACTTATATACGAAAAACTAACCATAATACCCATACAACTGCATATTCAATCTTATAGAGTCACTCCCAAAATACCCAAAGTAAATTTAATTTCTAACGACAAACATAAACTTAGGTAATTCCTAAAAAAATGTGCCTATAGGGAAGTAGAGATGGCAACGCGGTCATGCTGTGGGTATGCACTTGTCGTCTTCGGTCGGTCTCGGGTTTATATTATTACTGGGAAAATAAATAAGAGACAAGAATAGTAAGAAAATTTAACAAATATGACAAACATAACTTCATTTTGTTTTGTTTTTTTTAATGATTTGTGAATTATTATTTTAGCCTTATTATATTAATATTTATTTATATATCCATTTTTTTGGGGTCATATTTATATGTCCATTTCACATAATGTAAGTAGGGCCATGATTGACACCTTGTCAAAAAAATTTGACAAATAGACTTCTCCTGAATAATAAAAGAGTATCCACCCTTTTATTTATTTATTTATTTTTATACAATGATAGGCTACTCTAAGAGAGGTGCGGGCTCAAGCACCAATGTGCACACATAGGGTTTCCTCAAGCACCGATGTCCACATATAGGGTTTCGAACGGGGTGTGCCATGGGGAAGGGGGAAGTCACCACCACTATGGTAGAACCCATTGGCAGTACCCACCCTATTCTTACTCAAATGGTACGGAGTAATAAGTACAACTACTAAAGAAGAACAAAATACACAGAAATAAAAAAAACAAAAAGGAATACACATGACTTTTGTAGGACAATCTAAGACTGAATTTAGGAAGAAAAAAAAGGGTGAAATATCCAGGTATATATTCAAGAACAAACCTTCCAATAACATCCACCATGATTATATGAGAGTACTCGAAAAAAAACAAACAGATAAAACATAAAATCTATGATCAGATGGTTGAAGTTGAATTTCTCAATTAAAGCTCCATGTATATGTATCACCTGCTGCGAATCTACGAATGCCATCAGCTGTCACAGGCAGCAGTGGTGTCCGCGTCATACAACGCTGACAAAGATTTTGGAGCAAGCCCAAACCTTCGGCCATCAAATAGTAGAAGATGAAGATCACATATGGGATGTGGTGCCAGGAGTCAGGAAGGAGAAGCGATAGCAGAGATGCAACTGAAAGTAAAGCAGAAAACATGATGGCCAAGCGAAAGTTGGTGGGAGAGTAAGTAGGGAATCTTAGCCTAGCAGCAACAGCGGAGCTGTAGGCAAGTAAGCTTGCAATGGCAACCATGGTGGTGGTACGATGGGTTTCAAATGGAGAAGACAACTTGACTGGAATTAGGGCAACAAGTACTGACACTATAAAAGCAAGAATGGAATGGGGGGAAGGAGCAGGCAAATGTTGCCTTGCAAGATTGATAAGCAGAGTATTGAATGTGAAAACAAAGGAATTGTGTACATGCAAGATTATGGCTTGGCGCCTTTGAGAGTGAAGATCGGCCATGGCACCAGCCGGAGAGAGAGACCTTTGGTGAAATGAGGTATTTATAGAAAGAAAATATAGGATGGCCACTCCTTTATCAATGACCACTAAAAGACAAAACAAGTGCTGCTTAGATGGTTTCGGAGAATTTGCTGCTTTTTTTAATCTTCTTCTGATGAACCAATCCGACCTTATTTTCTATGAAACGTAACCAATATGTTCGAACCAATTTGTCATTATTTTTAATAAAAGAAAATAAGGATATATATGCTCGTAAATGATAACTTTGTGGGGATTCGTTTAATGATATATCTTATTATGTTAAGTTTATGGGACTTCAATATTCTTCAATACTCTTCATATATTAAATTAAATCCCATTAATTAATCTTATTGTCGCTGTATGGCTCCAACTTTCTTGTGTCAAAGACAGGGACAGCATAGGAGGGGTGGGCTCAAATGGATGGGGTTTTGGATGGATTGTAAAAATTGCGTCCATGTATAACTGGCTAAAGAGACTCCAACTGCAAATTTTGCCTAGCCCTCTGTCGATTATGGCCTCTTAACCAAAAACGTTAAGATTTTTTTTTGGGGGGTAAAAAGGGAGCCAAAGCCCAAGCAACACAAAAAGAACTACACAACAACCATCCTTGGACGAGCCAAAAACTGGATCTATTTAAAAACCAATTCCGAGTACAAATATTGGATCTACTAAAAGCCAATACAGGGGAAGCACTTGGTAATATTCACCAAACTTGTCCACATATTCAAGACTCTTGCTTATAAAGTCCGAACATTTATTGTTACAAGAACCTCCTCTCCTTCTTACAATCCATGGAAGCGGTTGTTCTGACAACAACAACCAAAAAACCCACATGGTAGCAGTTGGCCCGACTTTCTCCAATAAACTCCGATCCCAAGAGTCCAATGTCGGGGAAGCACAAGTG